ATAGTGCTTGGCATATTTTGAGCATTTCATAAATGGCAATTATTAAAAGGAGAGCTGAGTAGAATGCAAGTACAAGTCATGACAAATCTGGGGTAAAAGTGGATTATGTAGTATCATGTAGGGCTGAGTCTCAGGCTCAGGCTTGCTCACTCTCAGAGAATCTATAAACAGAAATGAAATTCTCAAAGGAGGATACAGGTTCCCCGGAGTGTCAGAAATCATTTATACAGAAACTACCTTTGGAACAGATCAAGAGAGTAGAAAAGCATGGAAGAACAGGAGGAAGTCCCAGCCAAATCATCAGAAGTCCCTGGGAGGGAGCTGCCAAGGCCTGTGGGGTGCTCCTCCACTTGTCAGTGGCTGCCTGGGATACACAGCCCTGTGATTCTGGAGCTAAGGAAATGGAGGTCAAGAGCAAGGGCAATCCCCCAGAGCTGCACTTCCCAGACCCAGCATCCTGACTCCCATGGCAGTCTGTCAAACTGGGAGAGAGCAAAGAGCCTAGAACTAAACAAAGACCCCTAGCCCTGAAGCATCGCTTTTGCAGGATGCTAGCAAAATGCTAGCATCATTTTTTCATTTCTCCATCACCCCCCACCAATCCTTGCGAAGTCCAGAGCCTTGTCTTTTTTTGTCCCCACTCCACCTCTACTAAAAATTATAAGTGGTCCAGTGTATGCCCTCAAAGAACAGAAGCTGAATGAGTTATATGAAAGATGGCATGAAGATAAAGATACACGTACTAGGGAATAGAATGGAAAATTGGCACACATTTTTAAGATGGAACACAGGACCTCAGAGAAACTTCCAAAATCTTAGAGAAGGTTCAAGCTTTGTCTCCAGAGTCTAAAGTTTAGAGTTCCAAGTGCACCCTTTTTAGCTATTGGGGATACTTGGGTGGATAAGTTTCTAGAGCCTGAAACACATTACACAATGCAGGCTTTCCCTCCTGTCACTTCCTTCTTTACACTCATTTCCATCCCTCTCTGATTGTGAGCCTGAGCCAAGGAAAGGCATGGCCCCGCTGGGGAAGGGATCTTGCTTGCCTCCGTTTGCATACAGCCCCAGGTTTACTTCAACTTGGGATCTACAGTGCTGGCTTATTAGCTGTCTGCTGCATACTCTCAGAAGCGTTTTCCCTGGCATTTCTTTTAACTGTTTTAAAAAATTTTTAGTAAAATAGACATAACAAAATGTACTGTTTTAACCATCTTAAGTAAATAGTTCAGTGGCATTAAGTGCATTCATGTTACTGTGCAACCATCACCACCATCCGTCCATCCGTGGAACTCTTTCACCATCCCACACTGAAGCACCACGCTCATTCATCACTAACTGCCAGATCCTGCAGCACCCAGCCCCTGGCAACCACCATTCCACTTAATGTCCCTGTGAATTTGACTATGCTAGGTCCCTCTAATAAGTGAAATCATATGACATTTGTCCTTTTATGTTTGGTTTATCTCACTTTGCATAATGTCTTCAAGGTTCATCCATGTGAACAGAATTTTATTCCATTGTAAGGCTGCATAATATTCCATTGTATGGTATATACCACATTTTGTTTAGCTGTTTGTCCACTGGTGACATTTGGGTTGTTTCTACCTTCTGGCTATTGTGGATAATGTGACTATAAACCAAAGTGTACAAACATCTATTCAAGTCTCTGCTTTCAATTCTTCTGGGCATATCCCCAGAAGTGGAATTGCTGGGTCATATTATGGTAATTCTGTGTTTACTTTTTTGGGGAGTCATCGCTGGTATTTCTTTTCTTTTCTTTTTTTTTTTTTTGAGACAGAGTCTCACTTTGTTGCCTAGGCTAGAGTGAGTGCCATGGCATCAGCCTAGCTCACAGCAACCTCAAACTCCTGGGCTCAAGCAATCCTGCTGCCTCAGCTGGGACTACAGGCATGCACCACCATGCCCAGCTAATTTTTTCCATATATATTAGTTGGTAAATTAATTTCTTTCTATTTATAATAGAGACGGGGTCTCACTCTTGCTCAGGCTGGTTTCGAACTCCTGACCTCGAGCAATCCACCCGCCTCGGCCTCCCAGAGTGCTAGGATTACACGCGTGAGCCACCAAGCCTGGCCTATCACTAGTATTTCTTTTCTATTTCCAGAGTCAGTTCTTATTTATTGGAACAGTTTATTTTGCCTCTCCAGTATTCCATCCTACATTTATCCTAAATTATCTCTCTTTTGCTTGTTTCCTCTTTCATTTACTACCAAGGTTATTTAGAAATATGATCTTATGTCTCACAGCACTGATTTTCCCCAAAACACAAATATTAGACTTCACTATTTGGAACAAATTGATATTTCCCAAGTCATAAGGTGCATTAGTTAAAAGTGTTAAGAATGTATAATTTTTATGGGGGAAAAAAAGCCATTTTCAAATCACTACCAAAACAGCAGTTTGGCATGAATCAGGTTACATACTATAATAGAAAAAAGATAGTTCCTGATTTACAAATGTCACATTTAGGAACATCCCTGATATGCAAACAGTAGTGGAAATCAGGAGTCTAATTCCTCTTCCAATACCTGCAAGTCTTCATCTGCTGCCAAGGGGATGGTGAGGATCTTGGACTTTCAGCTGTTAATGGGGACAAGTAGAACCCACCTCTCTTCCACTTTCATCCTCCTTCTTCCTTCTTGACACTAGAACTATGGGAGTGCCACCTCCATTGTGCTTGCGCTGGCTTCACAGTGAGAGCCCCTGTTCTCATTGGAAGATTAAATTCCTTCAGAGGCAGAAGAGTTTCAGTTGGAACACTGCATGACTTTGCACACAGAAGCAATGCTCTTTCATGTCTACTCAACAAGTCCTGTCCATTCCATTTACTAGAAGACAATCCTCAAAGACAATCCACCTCAAAAACAATCCTCCCTCCTTGCCTCCTCTACCTGGGGTCAGAATCTCATCTGGACCACTGCAATGACCTCTGAGCTGGTCTCCCCCATCATCACAATTTCTGCCTCATCCTTCACACCATGGGGGAAATCTACCTCTCACCAGCTCAATGTCATTGTTACCAAAGCCCTGAGATAACAATGTTCAAGGAAGACCTTAACCATTCCACACCTCTGTTGGGTGGAACTGCAGCAGAGCCATGTCTTCTGACTTCTAGTCTGGTCCATACTTTCTCACTGGTTGCCTTTTAAGTCTACATGGCTCTTAATGGTTTAGTTAAAATGAGAGAATGAATATGACTGATACCATTCCTATATCAAGGTTAACAGTGGAGGGGAAGACAGTTAAAGAGAGTAAACAGCAAAACCAAAATCAACGCACCACCCTCTGTCACCCTGGTCAGCACTGGTGTGGTACGCAGTTTCTTCTCTTACTCTTCTCTCTTCTTAAGGATGGTGCTGAAAGTGGAGTTGTCATAGTACTTCTGTCTCAAACCCTCATGCTTCTTTCTTCCTGACTGCACTTCCCAGACACCATCTTCACCACCTGAACAGGAGGACTCTTCAAACCCTCCCCAAATCTAAATCTTAGAATGTATTGAGAAACTGCACTTGACCTTCTACATGTTAGGAGAAACTTCCTGGTTCTTTCTTCATAATCATGATCTACCACCCTCACCATCCCTCCCTGAAATTTCCCCACCTAAAACAATAACAACAAAAAACCTGTTATGTGTATTTCTGTAAGCAGCCTAAAATTCTTTTCAGACAAGGAAAAGCTATATATTAATCAAGTTAGAATTCAGATGGCCATTTGTCCCAGTTTGCCTAGGACAGTCCCAATTTATACCTATTGTCCTGTGTAATTTTTAAAAGAGCTCCCTCTTTTAGTCTTAAAAAAAAAGAGTTCCAGCTTGGAGGATAAATTATATGCTCACCCTTCTTAAAAATACACCTTGATTTTCCAGCAAAATGTTTTCCAGGTGATGTTATGCTTTTGCCCTCATCATTTCATTTTATTTGCATAACTACTCTGCAAAGTAGGAATGGAAACATCTTATCTACATTAAAGAAAGGAAGTAACCAAGGCTTCAAGGGTACAGTGGTGACTAAGGTCACACACTCAAGGCTAGAACCTAGACTTCCTGACTGTAAGTCCAATACTGTTACAGGTTTGTGCAAATATCTGAGTTAAGGCAAACTTCACCCTCTTGTTTGTCGCCTGCTTGCAATTGGACTTAGAACAGTTTAGACACGGTCATCCTTGCCCAGAGACTGTTCTTCCACATTTAAAGCAAGCAGAGAGCTGAAAGAAGAATTACCTAAACATAAAGAGTCTGTTAGTGGATCTTGGGGCCAAGTAGCATATATCTCTGATTTTACCAGGTCTAATTACATCAGATTATTTGAATCTTATATCTGGCCAAATCAGGATGTCTCAATTAACAAAAAAAAGAAAACCAAAGATCAATAATGCGTGCCAACTATTACAAAGAACATACAAATGGGCTGTATGGGACAAATGGGTTATGTCTGTCTTATAGATATATTTTCCCTATGATGACACAATAATCCCTTTTGTTTTAAACTTCCAAAACTATCAAAATTATACCTTCCTTGGATAAGTGGCAATGAAACACCAGAAGAAGAAGAAAAAAACCTGATCATTTAAAGACAGACCCAGTGTGTGAGACCTCCAGGGTGTCCCAGAGGTGCTGAATGCGGCAACACAGCAGAAATAAACCGACGGCCCGCCCCAAGAGAAGGCCACGGGACCCTGGGGCGCCGGGCTGGGAACAGTGTCCCCCGTCTGTGCAATGGCAGGGAGAGGGCCAGTGTGCCTTGGGAAGGGTGGCTCCAAGCCGCTGGCCCGTCTAGCCTGACCGCAGCAGGGGATGGACGCCTTCATGCCGGCTGCGGGCACCCCGGCCTGACGAGGGAGGCGGCCGGACCCCGCGGGTAGGAGGCTGGGCGAGCACTAGGCAGGAGGACCGCGGAGCCCGAGCTCGGCCCGCGGGGAGGGCAGCGGGGGAGGAGGGCCGCGCGCACGCGCAGGAGCGCCGGCGCCCGCCGGAAGAGCTGGGCAGCTGAGCCGCTGCTGCAGGCGCCAGACGCCGCGCCGGCCGCGGGGAGAGCGCGGGGCGCGAGATGCGGCCCGAGGACGGCGCGGGGGCTGCGGAGCCGGGCGAGCCCGTGCTGCTGCTGACGGACGATGCGCCCCCGGGCGCGAGTGAGGAGCCGGCGGCCGCCGGGACGGAGGGGGCGCCCGGCCGCGGCAGGTGCTGGCTGTGCCCCGCCTCGCCGTGCGGCTCGCGCGCGGAGCCGGGTGAGTGCGCGGGGCTCGCCCCAGGAGCCGGGCGGGCGCCGGCGGGCTGGGGTCCCGCAGCCGGGCGCAGTGCCCACCGCGCCCCGTCTCCAGCCTGCGCTGCGCTCGGGAAAACCTTCGAGCTGTCACCCGGGGGCTGCAAAGCAAAAGTCTCGGGCGCCCCCGTCGGCGCCAGGACGGCAGAAAGTTTCTCATCGTGCTTGCAACCCTTTGGGGATTCTAAGGCCACTTCTGTTATTAGTGCTGCGGGCAGGACTGTGGAGTCAGATTGCAGTTTAGTGTCCCCTCCCCGAGGTCGCAGGTGACGGGTCAGCGAGAGAGGGCTGTCCCGCAGTCGGGCCGAGGTGGAGGGAAGATCGTGAAAACGGGTCTCGGTAGTGAACAGTGCTCTCTGGAGAGGAAGTTGAAAAGCATCGAGTCTAGGAAAATGTTTGTCCCAGAGTCTTAGACTCTTGGAAAGGCAGGGATAAGAGGAACCACTGGTTCTTAACCTTTTGGGGCTACGAGGACTTTTTGGCAACAGTTGCATACTAAGGTATACCTTGTTAAAAGGTTCACGGTCCCGTCCCCCAAAACAGGAAACCCGCATGAAGAACCCTTGATCTTGTTCAGCCCGCTCCCTCCACAAGCGAGGAAACCTGTGAGGCCCGGAAAGGTGAGGGCTTTGCGGGTTTTGTTTATTTCCTCCAAGGTCTGACTTGTGTGGGTGAGCTGGGGCACAGGTCCATGCAGCACCAGGGTTAGGATTCCAGCTTGCCAGAGACTGGCTCAGGGCCCTTTCCACTGGCCACAAGTGCTGCTTCAAGCACATTCCTCCTTGAAATTGACCACCCACCTGGAGCAGCTTCCTGAAAATAGAGGGAAATAGGCAGATTTCCTTTTAAGACAAAGTTACAGTCTGTACCCTCATCCTCTGAGCTGGCTTCCCTAAATGTGCCCCTGGATTTCTGTGCCTGTCACCTCACCCCACTTTTCCCTCTTTCCTGTATGCATTTTCCCCAATTTAGAAAGACAAACCCTAGGAAGATGTTTCTTGCTCTGTTTCTGTCCTAAATGTAAACAGAAATGATCAGATTTCTTATCATTTATGCATGAGCTAGTGCCCTGGAGCAGGGGTTACCCCAAGCTGGATTGACCAGACATGCGGCCTTCAATGAGGTCAGTTTCTCACCTGTCGCCCTGTGGCTGAATGTCATTCTGGTGGAATACTGAGTTAGTCCATGCAGCCTCTTAAAAGTTTCCCGTTTTTGTGACACAAAGAGAAATACTGTATACTCAGACAGTGCATGGCAAAATGACAAACCTATGTAAGTGAGTGCACCTAAATAATCCTGTGGAGTGTTTTAACTTAAAAGAAAGCTGCTAACAATAAGACTTAGTTATTGTAAGTTGATTAGACAGTATTTTGGCCCAGGTGCAGTGGCTCACGCCTATAATCCTAGCACTCTAGGAGGCTGAGGTGAGAGGATTGCTTGAGCTCAGGAGTTCAGGACCAGCCTGAGCTCTACTAAAAACAGAAAAATTAGCCAGGCGTTGTGGTGTGTGCCTATAGTTGGAGGCTGAGGCAGGAGGATCACTTAAGCCCAGGAGTTTGAGGTTGCAGTGAGCTATGATGACACCACTGCACTCTACTTGGGACTACAGGGCAAGACTCTCTCTCTCTCTCAAAAAAAGTAATAATATTTTGAAAAGAAGATTGCCATAAAAACACTAAACTATTATACTGTTGTTATCGAACTTTGTGACAGTATCATTTTAGCCTCTGTTCTGCTTATCAAAACAAAGCTCATTTTCAAGTTCAGGTTGAAACTGTTACCCATTTTTCTTATATTCTTGGATGACCTTAAGTGACAGCGAACAGCTATCCTAAGACATGTATTTACTTTATTCAGGGACTGTGGATCTTGGACTGAAGCAGGGATCTTCCCTTAGGCCTGTCCCTCACACACTTCTGAGAAGAGTTAGTGTTCTAGTGGCGCCATGGTTTTCAAACCAGTGGAGCTTTTTTAGAGTTACAGAGATTCTATTTCAGTGGGTCTAAGGTGGGGCTTAAGAATTGAATTTTTAAAAATTACTCAGGTGATTCTAATTCCCAACCACACTGTGAATTACCAGCTTAAAGCAGAGGATAGAGAAGCTGAGCAATTTTTCAGTTTTTTGTCTAAGTCAGAAAACTGCACTTAATTTGAGTTATTTAGAGTGGCCAAGTTACTAGATATTCTTGCAGTGAGATGTAAACATAGAACATAAGCAAATGCCTCTTTGGATTATGCTCATCTCTTGCTCATCTCCATTGACAGAGAGAATTGAAATAAATTATTATGCAGTAAGAGACTGAGGTTTGCCTAAGTAGAACCAGTCCTCAACCTCATTAAGAAATAATCAGATTCAGCTAGGCCTTCTAACTTCTGCCCTCTCCCATTCTGCAAGCATGAGCTTAAAGCGTTTATAGGCAAGAAAATACTTGCATGTTTTAAGGGAAAAGCTCATTGGGGCTAAGGGTGTAAAATTGTGTTTTAAAAGAGTTAAAATCCATCCTGGGAAGTAGTTAAAAAGAAAAGTTAAAGTATCACACTAAGTTAAAATATTCTTGGAGAAAAATTAAGTTTAGGTTGGAAAAGATACTTAAACATAGACCAGGGGGATGTTTTCTGTTCTTGATCTTCTTGTTCTGTTCTGTCTGAGGGTGGAGGTTTTATACATGGGTTGGGTTGTTTTTTTTTTTTTTTTCCCTAAGAGAAACTTTTATTGAATTCTAAAATTTCAGAGGCCAAACTCTAAGGCTAACCACAGTCTAGGCATGTATTTTGTGGTGCTTAACATGAAAGTCTTCTAAAACTTCCTTCTCATAGGCTGAGTGGAGATATATATATATATATATATATATATATATATATATATATATATATATATATATATAGTTTTTTCCTGCAGTATCTGAGCACATCGGTACAGAACAGAATTCAGGGGATACTGGCACTCGGGATAGAATGAAGACTGCTAGCTCCAAAGCAGTTTCATCAGCTGTGCACCTAGGAAGAGGAGAAGACCTCTGATGAGAATGGCATCTTTGACGACAAAGGCCAGGCTGTAGAATGTCCCAGGCTGTGCATAGTCATACTTTTGCAATGATTTGCAGTCACTTGTGGGCAAAGGTGTCTAACTGACATGAGGATGTTGGAATGTATTACCTGGTATTTACATTTATCAGAGAAGGGCATTTTAAAAAACATTATTATGCAATACTGTTTTATAGCTGAGTAACATACTAGGACTCCCCAGATTGGAATGATAATTCTAGTTTTCCTATAAATTGCTCATGTCCACATACCCTTCAGTTCTGCTGTGCTCTTAACTGATGAGGACCAGTTGCATTTCCTTCTTTTCCTCTCCTTTTTTGTGTGTTAGTTTCCAAAAAAAAATACATATATATATTCCTCAGTGTGTGGCCTGTCTTTTAGGGAGTTCTCTGCCTACCCTGGCCAGCTTTGTTCTCTGCTGAATGACAGGAGAGTAAGATTGAAAGCAGGTTCTAGTCCTATCTAGGAAACTAAGACATAGGAAGTGACTGAGCAAAAGTTTAAAGCTCATACAGATTGTCATACTCGATCCCCTGGAGAAAGCACAGTTCCCTGGTTCAAATCAAGCCAAGAAGTAGGGGTTAGATGGCAGCTCTGTGCAAAGCACTTTAGAGCCAGACAGGTAGATGAATTGGCCCCTACTCTCAAGGAGTTTGTGCCCTAAATGGGAAGACAAATCGTGAACCATGAAAAGTTAAAAAATAGATTTGATTAACAGTTCAGAATAACAAAACGGAAAGCCTTCTCAGATTATGCTGTTGCCAGTAGTGTTAGGCTTTTGAGTCTTTCCATGAAGTTCTCATATTCTTTCATTCATTGAATATTTATTTAAGGTCTTCCATATGCCAGGCATGGACAAGAACTACTGAGGTCCCAGCCCTATGGGCATGTGGGGGAAGTCAGATAATCAACAAATAACTACATAAGACAGTTACAATAACCTGTTTTCCAGAAAAGAACACTTTCTTCACTTTCACTAGTGAGATAGTAGAAGATATTATCATTTGGAAGTATTTTTCACTTGCCATCTCGACAAGTGTTTCTTAAAGATTTCTCTCTTTCTTAAAGATTTGCCGTCTTGGCAAGCTTTCTACTTCTTGACTTGTAAGTGAGGGATGATTCTTCAGTGAACCTAAGGAAATCCATTTTTTAGGGCAAAACGGCATTGAAAAAATGCAGGTTTAAACTGTTGCCGTTGACGATGGTTCTTCGTAATCCATGGGGAAAATGGTAGCAGTCCAGAGCAGGGACATGCTTAGGAGGTACTACTTATAGTCTGTTACCCTTTGACACTGTTCCATTTTTCTCAATTTCTAAGTGAAAATGATAAAACGTACACTTGGAAGCAAGGACTAACCAGAATTTAATCTTTTTCAGAAGCCAAGAAGAAAGCACCCTGTCCTGGACTTGGCTTGCTTTACACATTATTGTCTGCCTTCCTTTTCTCATTGACCTCTTTATTTGTTAAAAAAGTGCAAGACGTCCATGCTGTAGAGATTAGTGCGTTTCGATGTGTGTTCCAAATGCTAATTGTTATCCCTTGCTTAATTTACAGAAAGTAAGTATTTCTTAACTGAAAAGTAGAAGATATTAATAAATGTGTGTAAATCTTTTGACCTGCTTAAATCATTTACTCTACAGTATCTACTTTATCTCATAGATTTACCAGGTCCCATACCCCTTGACTCTGGTCAATGAAAAGTCACAAAGGTTCAGCAACAGAAGATTCTACCATAAGCATAAACCACATGCCCAAAAAAGGGGGAGAAAGAGATTTAGTTATTCACCACCCCTTGTTTTGAACACAGAGCTTTCTTTGTATAATTTCCCCCATCGTGTACCACCCTCCCTTCTTTCCTTTGGCATAAGTAGTATTTAGAAGAAAAAAAAGTAAATGAAAAGTAGTAGTGTCTCTTAGCATCAGAGGTTTCTTTAAGTAGAACAGGCTGTCCTCTCAGCAGAGCAAACTGAAGGTTACAGTAATAATGTTTAGGTCTTCCCCAGAACATGATAAGATAACCTTGATCAAGTCCTTTTTAACTACTTTCATATTCAGTTTCCTCATCTGTAAATGGAAAGGAATGATACTTCTGTCTTCTACCCTGCATGATGGTTGCAAGGGTCAGATGACATTTATCATAGGGCAGAGTGCTTTGTGTAGAATGTAACAATGTATGATCTCTATGCCCTTCTCACCGGTTCCCTCCCCACCCAGTTCCTCTTCTTCTTCCCTGTGCAACCCTCCACTTTTCCCAGGTAACCCTCCACTTTCCCCAGGTTAAAAGTATGCCCCCCCCTACCATTATAACCTTCACACACCCCAGTGTACTTAGAACTTTGGCAGGAACACCAGTTGGGCCCCTGTGGCATCCTGGTTCTTTCTCTCTTTGGGCAAAGAAGCTTAAATCCCAAATTAAAAGCTTTAGTCACTTGCCACCAAAGTCTCCTTGTATCTCATAACCTGGCGTAGATTCTCTTAGAATAGTTTCATTTGATATCCTGAGGATTTGGTGGAAAAAGTGAAAATCTGCTAAGATTAATATTGTCAGAAATTCCTGTACAAGGGTGGATAAATCACAGTATTTTAGGAAATGATGGCAATATTTTCGAAGTTTCTAAGGGTGGCAACAAAACACTGATGCTAACATAATCCATAATCATCTCCCCTATTTTGGAGAAAACGGTATTGTCAGAGGAAGGACACTAGAAAATTTTTCTTAAAATCCTTGGTCCTAATCTATTTTGACCCATTTATGTTTCACTATCATAGGAGACTCTTAGCTTCTCAAAGTATGGGCCCAATGTGACCACACTTTTCATTTCTAACTCCAGGGGTGTCCATGTCAGGCCTAGATGATACCCTAATGAAGTCCGGCCCGGGCACAGATCAGCGGGTTGCACCTAGCCAGGAACTTACACAGAGTAGGTGCTTAGTTAAATGTTTAATTGAAAATTTTGAGTAGCAGTAATTATACTTTTCTAAACACTACATGTTCTTTTTCAGTGTGTTTTTACGTCTTCCTCATGAGAATAATGAAAAGTAGTCTCACATTCAATGGTTAAAACAAATTTTAGCATTGTTTCAACTTTTATAGAAAAACTTATGAGATTGAGGATGCGCATTAGCCAGGACCAAGTTTCATTACACAGGAGAGCTAAATCTTGAAATTGTATTTATTGTAAAAATGATTCATTTTCACCATAGAAAATTTGGACAAAATAAAGACGGAAAATTACCTGTGAGTGTACCTATTAAGGTATAATCATTAACGTTTAGTTTATTTTCCTTTTTGTCTTTTTTGCAAGCATAAACATACATATACATGGGGAAAATAATATCTATGTTAATTGTATTATAATTATGCTATTTATATAGTTCTCTTGTAATAGTTTTGCTTTTACTGTGAACACTTTAATGTCATTAGCTATAGAAAAATAGCTAATAGCTTAGAAAAATATTTAAAAGGTATATAATACTCAGTTGTAGATACTATAATTTTCTATTCTCTTTTTGGCATTTAGTACTTTAAAAATAACGTTTAATTAAAAGTTGTAATTTAAAAACAAATACCAATTTCATTTAATTTGCATTTCTTCATTTGAATTTACAGAACTGGGTTTATTGGCCCAAAAGGTCAACGAATTTTCCTCGTTCTCAGAGGAGTCCTTGGTTCTACCTCCATGATCCTTATATACTATGCTTTCCAGACAATGCCCCTCGCTGACGCCACAGTTATCACGTTTAGCACTCCAGTATTTACGTCCATATTTGCTTGGATATTTCTCAAGGAAAAATATAGCCCTTGGGATGCTCTTTTCACCATGTTCTCAATCACTGGAGTGATCCTTATCGTCAGACCACCATTTCTGTTTGGTTCCAGCTCTTCAGGGACAGAAGAAAGCTATTCCGTCCATCTTCAGGGAACATTGGCAGCAATCGGACATGCCGTATTTTCTGGAATGACTCTAGTTATCCTAAGAAAAATGGGAAAATCTGTGGACTACTTTTTGAGCATTTGGTATTATGTAATAACTGGCCTCCTTGAAAGCACGATCGTCCTCTTTATATTAGGAGAATGGAGTCTGCCTTACTGTGGCTTCGACAGGCTATATCTTGTACTAATTGGCACAGTTGGTTTGGGGGCTCAGGTATTTCTCACAAAAGGACTTCAAATAGAAAAAGCAGGGCCAGTAGCAGTAATGAGGGCAATGGATGTAGTCTTTGCTTTTATCTTCCAGATTATTTTCTTTAATCAGGTGCCATCATGGTGGACGGTGGGTGGTGCTATCTGCCTAGTAGCCAGTAGTATTGGAGCAGCCATTCATAGATGGTACCAGAGTTCCAAATGAAGCATCATTGCTGCAATACATATTTTTTTCAAGTATACCCTCACCCAATTCAGACGCACTATATATGCTTACACACCTGGGAAATCTGCATTTACTTTGATTATATTTAATACATTTCATAAAGTGCCATTGTTGAATATGGTATGTCTTTAATTAGCTAAGAATAGCTAGTCTATTTGGTCTAGCAATTTTGGGGGGTATCTTTTTCAGTTTTGGTTCGTTTCTTGTTGGAGTGGCATTGGTGAGAGGAGAGCACAATGTTTGAAGAAAAACCAAAAATTTTTATGACTCTAGTAATTTTTTAAATGTCTTTTTACTACCGATGGGATATGGGTGGGAGGAAATTTTAGATACTCTTTTAACATAGTAAAGCCTAAGAATCTTATTGATAATGCTGCTATAATTAGTATTATGTTGATAATTCATTTGCAACATAATTCCATTTAGGTGGCCAAAGCTGAAACTTGGGATAGGTGCCTACTTAATGCTGTTAATAATACAAAAGAATTGGCCTTATTTTCAAGGATTTTATAAATGATTGTCATACTTTTAACTCTTGTGCCTTTTCATTTTAATGCTGGAATTTTTATTATATAACCTGTAAAAAAAGGTTTTTAAATCGCCAAATTTGGCTAGTAGTTTTCTGTGTCAGTGGTATTAGCAACTGTAGTTATCATTCTATAATTTTAATTGCCTCTGTTTTTTGAAACTGCACTAATGTTATTTTTTCTTAACATTCCAAGATTTCAGATCTTTGAATCACAAGGAGAAATCTTGGCATGACCAGTGTGCACATTTCCATCCTGAAGTGTTTTCTCTTCACTAGAAATGTGATTTTCTATAAATTCTCTTTGAATTTATAGTGTGATGCCAAATAAAATTTTCTCAGGATCTTATTAGGTTGAACCATATGAAATTGCCACGATTTTACCATTTTAATTTACAAAAACTATAGTTTCATATGGTTCACCCTAATAGATACCTCCCTTACCCTCTAAATCAGGTACTTAAAGGACCTTGGACTATGTGTTAAAAATAATTTTTAAAGTACAAGACTGCTATTAAAATTTTTATTGTTATGACATTATATGTAATAATGCTTGATGTTATACATTAAATGTAAAGACCTGTGAATCCATGTTTGATTGACTTTTATAGTTTCTTATAGAAAAAAAGTCACTGTTAAATTCTGTTATATCAGCATGATGTTAAATGTCAGTACTGTACCATGATACTAACATCATGAATTCAAACAACACATTTTATATCTGGAACTTCATCAGGCCAACACTCTGCAGATAAGAGAGAATTTAATATCCAGGAAAGCTTGGAAGGTTAGCCGGGACTTAGAGAGTACATGCAAATGGTTCTTTGTCACAAAGACCCTTTACTGGTGAGGCTGTGATGGCCTCCAACTCCCTTACTGTGTCAGACATAGTATCAATTATCAAGCCTGCAGAGTTGAAAGGTTCTAGGCTCTTTCCCACCTCCCTGTCACAATTTTTCCAAAGCAAAGAAGAACTTGGCGTTTGCGATTTCTGTCTTGGTGAGAAAGAATCTTTTCCAGTAGTTCCAAGGGGGAGGTTTTGGCTTGCTGATTTTATCAAATGCTTTCCACCTTACAAATCCTAAATGAAGTCTATTTAGGTGAGTCATCTCTGTCATTATTTAACCTAATTGATGATAATAGAATGTAGACTTGCAAAAGCATCATTCTGCATATATCTTAGATAATTATAGAATCAGAGCATTTTCAAACTCAAAAGTATTTTAGAAATTGTGTTGTAGGAGCCATACTCCCTCGGTAGGGTTGATAGGAGACCTGCCTGAGTTGGATTTCCATGGCCATCTTCCCTCCCTCGGTTCCATGATAAAATATGGAAAGCAAACCACTACTTGAGCCACCTAATTTGAATTCACTTTCAGGGAGCCCTCTCCCAATTCTTTACCTTGCACAATGAAAGAACATTTGGGATCTTGAAAGCTAAATCCCTTTGGGCCTGTGCACTAAACATACATTTAATTTCGTGGCTTAAATACTTGAATGTCACAATATATGACTGAGGTTGGAGAAAATGTTTCTTCTCTCAACTCTTACAGGGTATGATTCTTAAACACTTACAATGTCCAAGGTGCATACAAGGATATGTTTTGTAACAATTATGGCTGTATGTATTTTGCAAAGATTGTAGTTTCTATATCTTGAAAAGTAAAATATTTTCATAAATTCTTTTTACTTTATAAGTACTAATAAAATAATATGAAAGAGTTATATGCTGGTTTTTATGATTATAACAAATGTCTTATCAAATATAATTTATTTCCCTTTCCACCTTGTGTTTTAGAATTTATTTTCTTTAGGAGACTGACTTCTAGCCATTCAACTGTGATGTAATCTCAAGGTTTAAACTGTTTATCTGTCCCTATTATACTGTCACATCAAATCAAACCTCTCCCAAATAAAGGCACTAATCTTCTCTTCCAGTGAGGCCTTCATTCTTCTAGCCCCTCAGAGTTTGGAGCGGCTTTGAACTGTGTACTTTTTGTTCCCATAGCTAATCTGTTACTAAATCCTAGAGTGTCTGTCTTACTGTCTGTGGATTCATTCTTTCCTCACCATTTCCACTGCTACCTTCTTAGTCTAAGACTTAACCACCTCACAACTGCATTACCACAACACTATCTATCTTTGTGGAGTTACCTGCTTTTAGACTCACTCTTTCACTCTGATTTTTGTCTCAGTGCCAGATTAATCTTCCCAGAGCTCTGCTCTCACTGCTACTCTGGTTTTCGTAAAACTGCAGTGATGCCTGTTACACACCACATTGCAGCCAGATTATCCATCTGGCCCTGTTCCTACTTCTGCCTGATTCCCACCTCCCAAAACAAATTTGATACTCAGATCAGTCTCTCTAACTCCCACATTTGCCATAGAGTCCTTCCTGTTTTCCTTGCCATCCTCTTATTCGCCCCCTAAGGCCTGTTGGCCGCCAATGGCTCAACTTTAGCTGTTGTTTTTCCAGTCTCCAGCTTCTCCCACCCACACAATCCATGTTGGAAGAGTGAATAAAGCATTGGATTAGGAGCCTGAAGATCTAGTGTGGTTTTACCACTTTCCAGCTGGGCAAGTCAATGTGCCAGAGCGGATTTTTCTCGTTTGTTAAATAGAATCATATTACTTGTCTAATCTATCTCACAGGTGAGTGCCATGTAGACCATGGCACTCACCATGTAGACCATGATGAAAGACAAAAGCATTGCCTGTTGAACCGTGGTCAATACCATAGAATTGAGTATTCACTCTCCTCAAAATGATGCCTACCCAGGGTCCTTACTCCTGAGCAGACTCGCCAGGAACTCTAGGAACACATCTTTAAGAATGTAAACTCCATTTGGCCCCCTCCTGCTAGCACAGAATTCTCTTGTTGGATAGCTTTCATTTCTTGGCTGATCCTAAGTGGGGCTGCCAAGGGTCACCAGTCCCTTTCTCTTAATGCACAGCTGTAGCCAGTTTCCAGTTTTGGCTCTAGCTCTGGACTTACGTGGGTGTTACACTTGGCTCTGACTTGGGGAATAGACCTGATTCTCTGTGTGTTTCCCATGCACTATTCTCTATGCTTGGCATGATTCTTCTAGTCTCTTCTCTGTTCCCCCCATAAGCATAGTCTTCTTGAGGGTATTCTAGTGGGAGGAAAGCCAGATATCCTTGATGATATTTTGGCCTCTGATCTAGGTTTGTATGAATCTAGGTCAGTAGTGGTCATTAGAATTTGGTTATTAGGGCATAGGCCGGACATATGAAGCCTGGATACTACCCCAAGCACACTTTTCTGTGGTCCCTTTAGTGCCTTATATCAAATCTAATACAGCTATCATATTCACCTAGAATGCTGCAAGATGCCTCATCAGGGATGCTCTGATCCACAAGGACAGATCCAATTTTAGCCTATTCAAACACTGAGTTTGGAGCTGGACTTGGAGAACCAATTCACAGCCCTTGAACTTTGGTACTGCCCCTCATCTCCCGGAAATTGGGAGGTGGGGCTTTATAGCGGGAGGGTAAGGAGCAGATGTATCTGGTATCAAGGTGGGGCAGGAAATGCACCACAGAAGCCCAGTATACAGGCAAAGGTTCCGCTGGGTTCAGGGATCAATCACCACTAGGGCAAAGAGCTGAGGTTTTTCTAGTAAACTTCTGTGACTCTAGAAACTATCTGTGATTAATATCAGCAAGCCTAACCATCAAGGAAAAAAAGTAATCCAGATTCGTGAGAGTTGCCAGGATGTGGTCAGGAAATCACAAAACCACATTTGATTCTCCACTCTCACTGTTTCACTTGACCAGCCTTAAAAACAAAAACAAAAACAAAAACACATTTGAAAGGAAGTAGACTTGGGCTGCAGAAAATGTGTTCAGGTGAATAGCATAGCATTAAGGTACTGTGCCATGGTCAAGAACACCATGGTGCAGCAGACGTAGGCTGCTGAAGGGCCAAGGCCAGAGGGGTGCACTGCTGGCCAGGAGGCCTCTACCTGAGGATATAAATACCTGGTCGTTCTTACAGGTGTTCCAAGTATACTTGACCATGATTTGAAGATTAAGCTTTATGTGCCCAAAACATACCAGCGAGATAGAAACTAATAATGTAACTGTATTCAGATTAGCAGGTGTTAGCATGTTAATATTAGAATTGAATTCAAAGCAAAAGCCTAATTCAGAATTGACAAACCTTTTCTCTCTTGTGCTACTCCCCCTTGGAACCTAGCCACATTGCTTTGAGGAAGCCTGGGCCACATGGAGAGGCCCACATGGAGAGGAACTTAGGCCCCCAGCCCTCAGCCCCATCTGCACTCCCAGCTGACAGCCAGCACCAGCTTCCCAGCCTCGAGTATTCACGCTGGGAATGGATCCTCCAGGCCTCAGGTGAGCTGCCCCCATTGATGCTGTAGGGGGCAGAAGCAAGCCGTTCCCACCCCCCCCCCGCCCCACCCCCCGCCCCGACATCCTGACCTCTGCTCAAATTGCAGATTTGTGAGAAAAACAAAACAACGTTGTTGTTTTTAAGCTACTAAAAAATAAATAAAAAATATCAAAGATATAACTGTCATGAATATATATGTAGCAAATTACACATGATCACAATTACATAAAGCAAAACACTTCAAACATTACAAAAATCAACAAACAGTAGTACATTTTCAAGGGCTTCTCTCTGCCTGTGACAGATAAAGTTGGAAAAAATTAAATGTATAGGACATAAAAATTAAAAATATAATAAGGTTCATCTAAACCAGGGGTCCTCAAACTTTTTAAACAGGGGGCCAGTTCACTGTCCCTCATACCGTTGGAGGGCTGGACTATAGTTTAAAAAAAGCTATGAACAAATTCCTATGCACACTGCACCTATCTTATTTTGAAGTAAAAAAACAAATGGGCAAAAACACCTGCATGTGGCCCAAGGGCTGTAGTTTGAGGACGCCTGACCTAAACCAACTGTTCTCAAAGTGTGGTTTAGAGACCCCTAGGAGTCCTAACACCATTTCAGGTATTCCCAACGTCAAAACTATTTTAATAATAATATGAAAAATGTCATTAGACTATTTCATGCTCATTCTCTTGTGAGTTGACAGTGGTGTTTTCCAGAGGCTACAAGACATGATATTGCAACAGCTTGAATGCCGAAGCAGATAGAAGAATCCAGCTGTGACCCATTAAGCCAGATTTGCAACAATATAAAACATTTCTATTCTTCTCACTAAGCTTTTGGGAAAATAGTTATTTTCATAAAAATGTTATTTACGTTAACATATAATGGAATCATTTTTTAAATAAAGTTTTTGAAAATTCAGCTTTGTTTTTAACTATGTCAAATATCTATATAACTCACATAAACAAAAGCTCTTTGGGGTCTTCAATAATGTTTAAGAGGCCAAGCACGGTGGCTCATGCCTGTAATCTCAGTACTTTGGGAGGGCAAGGCAGGAAGATCTCTTGAGGCCAGGAGTTTGAGACCACGTGGGCAATATAGCAACACCCCATCTCTACAAAAAATAAGAAAAAAATTATCTGGGGAATAGGTATATTAAAAATATATATTAACAGATATATTTATTGAATTTGAAACCTTATAAAAGAAAGATTAAACCTATCTACTGACTTCATGATTTCTGATAGTCTGAAACACAGCTAA